CCCTCTCTCCGAGACTCCGCTAGTGGACAGTCTCATTATACGAAAGTGCCGTTTGCGCTACCTCCGCCAGCCGCGATACTCTCAGCTCCTGACAAAACGAACAGGTGGCGCATTTTACACTTCCCATGGTGAAAGGGTTGCCTCAACCAACTTGCTATCCTCGCAGCCAAATGCTGGTTTCAGCACTGCAACTCGTTGAAGATAGGGCCATCCAAAACATCAGCTGGAGGTCACGGGCGTACTGCGCCAACAGAAGCTAAGATCGGAGATGTCAAGTCGTTCCTCATGTCCTCAAACTTTCAGACATGTATTCAGGTTCAAAGCATATATGCTGTGGGCAGTTTCTTGCATAGATTTAATCCCCTCACCGACCGAGGCATTTCCACCCGGAGAACACTTCCACATTGGATCCTGAACCTGGATCCCGGGCTTTCTCGCGCCTATTTTACCTTTCAGGTAGAATGATGCCAGCTTCTGCAATTGACACCCATGTCCAACGACATCGGCAAAATTGATCGGTGCTTCTGGGGTTCTCTCGGTACAGGTAACTTTCTTTCGAGGCACCAGAGCCGTTACAAATGCTTCCGGATTGGCCAGGTCACTACACCGTCGGACACTACGGACAGTTGCAGGATGAAGCATCTGAGCTCAGATGGGAACACAATCACATTGATGTGGACTCGAATGAATGGGTAAGTTATATGTCTACTTTGTGGGATATTCGAAGAGTGACGAAGACTGAACTAGCTGATAGCGATCACGGCGAGTCCAGTATGCACCTCGAAAGGTGGTCTACGTCCCCAATTCCACGAATGATTAAATAAGCCTCCAGGTCGTTTTCTGCCGAAAAGACGAGCATCGATCGCTACTCAACGCAATGCTCGACGACTTTCAACTCCTTCCCTGTTGTACCTGATCTGACTTGCATCGTGGCACCGGACGCAGCCCATCTCTCCCCCGATTCTGCGTTGCTTAGAATCGGAGGCAAGTTCTTTTTTCGCAAAGAGGTCGGTTCACAAGACTTGGAATTTGTGGAGCTAAAGTTCGGCTTTTGCAGAGTCTTGGGAGGACGGTTGTTGTCGGGAAGACTTCATTGTACTGTGCAGAAGACGTATTCCTCGACCAAGGTTGGTGAGCAACGAAGATGAGAGGAGCGAGACGAGAAGAGAAGAAGCCATAAGACAGAGAATTTCTGTTTTCCAGAACCGGTCAAGATCAAGATCGAGGTTGGGGGCCAGGCAAACTTCCTCACCTTTTTCAGTCATTTGCAGACTATGCAGCAAGTCGAGGGTGAAGACCGATTTCGGTGAAGGGTAAAGACCGATTTTTAATGACCAAGAACCCTTCTGAGGATTCGGAGTAGACTATGTCGGTTTTCGAAGAATTAGATAGTCTCGGTTCCGAAAACCTGCCAGATCTCTCGTCACCCGAAAACTCCTGGACCGAGGGCTCAACCGACACCGAAGAATCATCCAACGAAGAGATCGGTAGCGATGGGCCCGACAATTCAGATTCGGGATCAGACGTTGACCTGCAGTCAGTCGAGGATGACGACAATGCAGGCGATGACTTGCAGGACATCGAGGTGGAATCAGAATACCACGGCGAAACGAGCGAGTCTGGGTCTCTGAAATCCCTCGACTCGTTTTCTCGATTTATCATCAGTTCCTCTGAATCCCGAAGAGGACGGAGACGAGAGCGCCGTATCTAATACCACGTGGCTCAAACATGAGATACTCATCGAGGAGGCGGACGAATATGAACCTGTTCAACTTGCAGCTCCAAGAGGGGTGTTGACATGCGACGCATGCGATCGCAAGAGGCTGCAGGAATGGTATCACTGCATCCCATGCAGTAAGGGAGACTTCGACCTGTGCAGAGGCTTCATTCGCCGCGGACGGTGGTGTTTCAACCTCGGTCATCGCCACTACACCCGCTGCTCATCTCTGCGTCAGTCGCTTGCTCCACCGCCGCCGCAGTCCATCTGTTGCCTCCGACCTGGCCGGTAGGGTGCGTCTCACATGCTGATGGTACCAAATTTGCCGCAATAGATGGATGGCACCAGCGGCGTTGCTCAACAGGCCCCGTACGCATTCGTTGCCGGCAGCCAATACGCAGAGAGCACGTTCCGTAAAGCTCGAGGTCAGCAAAGGCCGCGCGATTGCAGTATTGCTAGTGACGACGAGACGCTTGTGGCTTGACCGGATCTTTGATCATTCGTTCTTTTCCTCTGCTCAAATCTCTCCGCTTTACTCCCGCCGTACATTTCTGGACCTCGGAGATTTCGAGGAAGGACAACCAAATGGGAAATGCTCCAATAAGTTGTGTTGCGGCAGTTATTCTTTGGTATTGGTATGCCGGAGCTATCGTGGATGGACAGGGATAGCTGCCGACAGCGGAGGCATTGTTTAATGAACCAGGGCGATAGGACCCGTATGCCACGAGACGGGAATGCCGGCTGAGTAGCAAAAAAGGAAGATGCGGTCTGTGAGGCAGGGATTCGTCAGACTGTCGCAGCGGGCCGTCAAACTTTGATATCCCACATCATGGAGTCATGCTGGAAGAGTGAAGACGTCGTCAGATGTAGCAGTTTGGCTGCGTCCGAAACTTCACTGCGCCACAAGCTATGGCTTGAGGCTCTCCTGCGCATCGGTGGCAGTTCTGCCGACTGGTTGTCATGCTGGACGAGGTTGCGGCGATGGCTCATGACAATGAGGGGCGTCGGACGACCAGTCCAGTTCCCGGCCGGGAGCGCGACTTGCAAGACGAAAGAAGACGGTTTTGCGACACAGCGTTCGCTAAACATGTGCTTGAGGTTCTGATCGAGAAGAAGCCAGGCGAGGGAGACCTCGTCGAGTGTGCTGTGTTTTGGCAGCTGGAAGATGCAGATGGTGGAACAGTGGGAAACTGCAGCGGGGATGATGTTGAGGTCGAGCCAGCACCTGTCACCACAAGGCACCTACCTGCATGGAAGCATGGGCCATAGTGGTGCTGCTGTTTTGGTTTTGGATGCTCCTTGGCGTGGGAGCTGCACCTGGATGGTCAAATGTGGGCCGTTGTGCACCCCAGGTGCGTGCGTTGTGCCGGGCCTTGGTGATTATATAATAGTGACGTAGTGTTCTGGCTTTTCTACTGCCAGAACGCTACGTCACTGGAGCGTTCTGGCCTTTTTTTTTTTCGCCAGAACACTACGTCGCTGGACCGTTCTGGCTTTTGTTTTTTCCCGCCAGAACACTACGTCACTGGAGCGTCCTGGTTTTTTTTTCGCCAGAACACTACGTCACTGGACCGTTCTGGCTTTTGTTTTTTCCCGCCAGAACACTACGTCACTGGAGCGTCCTGACTTTTTTCCCCGTCGGCTCCCCTGAGGTTTTCCCACACACTGACAAGTGGCTTGATTATCGTAGACTCTCGTTAGATTTGCACAAAGCCTCCATGCAACCCCCCGGCACGCTTATCTAACTGGACAGAGAAATCAAAAGAGCGGGACGGGGCAAGGGAGAAACCCGCAATAGCAAGGGTTCTGACCAACACAGCCCCCTGTAATAGCTTCGTGCGAATCGAACGAGAGTCTACGGTGCCTTAATGTAGCTACGAGCGCTGGGCGCGCCTGGGTACAAAGTGGTGTGGCCGACCCCTTACGTAAAGATGGGATTCGGGCCTCGGGCCCGGGCCCGGGCCCGGCCGACTTCCGTCTCGCACTAGGAAGATGCTGACGTAATGCAGGTCGAAGGATTTTACGACCTGCACAGACCTCAGGACCCAATGATTGGTCGGATCTGAGACGGCGGCCCACAAGAATTCCTAGTGACGTCAGTGTTCAGTGTGTGTTCTACGTCCCAAGCATAAGCACACCCAGCTTCAGTCCCCTGTAGCAGGGCCACCCAGAAGTGATGGCAAAGGCGCAAAGACGGTCCGGACCATCTCTGGGCAGCAAAGGGCACATTCACGAGATCTCCTTGCTCAACGGAGTGCAGCTTTCGCGGCAGCACTGGCCTTTAGAAGCTGACCGACTCGCTGCTCGTTCAAATTGGGGGGAGCAAACTTCAGCGGTCGAGGAGCTGCGTGGAGAGGACCCGACGCACGATCTGCGCAATGCACTTCTCGAGTGCCTGCCCAGGATCGGGAACTTGGTGGGTGCAAAGACGATGCGGTGCAAAGACGATGCTCGTGATTGACGAGGGCTTCTGCGAGAAACAATAACATGCTCATGGAGGGTCACTCATCATGCGAAATGAAACCGAGCGGGGTCCTGGTAGGTCTACCTGACATGTTCGAAGGTGCAAGGCGATGTATCTTGACAACGGAAACATGGTGTCTGAGAGACGTTTGCAGCTGGGGACGGCCGAATTGCCAGATGTGCGATGTGAAGCTTTGCAAAGTCGGGATAGGCGGAGGTTGCCGAAAGAATGAAGCAGAAGCAGAGAAGAAGACGAGCGATTAGGTCCTGTGCTGCTCTTGGTGTGGCCGGGGACGTGCCTTATCCGCCTGGGTTGGCCCAAAAGCATGTGTCTGGAAGTCAGCGAGGGACGGCCCGAGCCGCAAAGGTGGGGCGGGAGGATCCATCAAGTCCACACCACGACCCGGCCTCAAAACGGGCGATAAAGTAACTAATACCTGCCGCGGGGCCTGGCGAACTCAAGGCAAGGTAGGTGTAAGGTGCCCGTGGACTTGGGCCTGGGCCCTGCAGTGTGTTAGGCCTGAAGAGCCTGTGGGTCATGCAGAATGCAACGCGACACACTACCTTGGGTAGGTAGGTAGAGTCCAATACCGCCAGGGCAGCTGTGTCACAAGGTACGTACCTGGTGGTGTTTGGGATGACTTGAGGCCCTACGTTGGCACCTTGCGCGAGATGCGACGCTTGGTTTTCAGGCTGACGACAACGCTCCGACGACAACATCCACAGCATTGCCTTCTCACATCAATCACGCCGGAGGAAAATGCCGCCAGCAGCCACCTCTGTGCATATGCCCTCGATAATGCCCATGACTTGAGCTTGGATGCCACCGCAGTCGCTGCAGAGGCTTTCGCCGTCGTCCGCGCGACCATGCCCAGACGAAAGAAATACATTATTATGGCGTAGGTCTTTCATTGCTTCCATCCATCCTCGTCTCTCCTGCGCGCATCTCTCTTCTCCTCGCCGTTCTCATCATTCCGGTGGCCCTCGTTATCACTGGTGTTTCTCTCGAGGCTGACAAATGTCAAAGGATTGCTAGGTATCTTCGAACCAAGCCCAAAGAGGTCGTCTTACATCATTGGCATAACCGCATACTTTCCATCGGCACAAGGGACTCCCCAAACCAAAGTCAAGGCGACTGCGAGCATACATTCAATCCCTACTACTCGTGCCATTGGGAACAAGCCCACGCCACCCCAAGAGGGCGAAGAGGGAAATTATTTCCTGGATCGACTGATCTTCTAACGCCGATTCGAGCAAGGGATCTTTGAGGCGGCTCAGAGGATGATGGGCGGGGAACTGTTTAGCAAGACATGTTACTTTGCCGCGGTTTCTTGTTATCGCATGGATTGGCGCTGGGAAGGTTTAGGGCTTTTCCTGTGGGTGTCATGATAAAACAGACAGATTGTGTCTCACTTGGCTGTTGTATGGAAGGACGGTTCTGCGGAGAGCCATATCCATCGCGCTCGCCTTCAATAACAATAATACCAACATGATCTGCCAAGTCTTTGCCGCAGCACGCTGCACAGTTCCAGATCATCAGATCGCGATCGCTAATTGCAGGCTAATTGCTCCGAGCAGACTCAAAGACGTAGCAGTATTGAGCTTGGCTCACCTGGGTTGTTGTGAATAGGAGGAAATGGTCGGTAATTGCTGTACAGACATGAGGGGGTTGTTTTTGGGTTGCTTCCGCCGGAGTGCGAGGGGATGGGGCTGTAGGGGGCCTTTTCTTTGTGTCGAAGTCTTCCCTGGCAGTCCGGTGCTAGAGGAGACCCCGATCATTAATGGGCGACAATGCATCCGGTCGAAGGTGCCTGGACGATTTGGCAAGGAGCGATGATATTCGCTTGCTTCGGGTGTTTTATTAGATCATCGATTTCGGGGACATTCCTTGGCCTGTATCGCACGGGGGGTTGGTGATGCGAACTTGGACCGGGAGGGCGCGAAGATGAGAACGGCGCAAAATGGGCACGTTGGATTCCTGAATGTCCACTCATAGTCACATTCATTGGTTGGAGCGGAACTTAATATGGGCCATTGTGCTCGCTGGGGTGTACATTGACCCACTTCTCCCTCGGGTTTTCTTCGACCTCGAAGTTTTCCTTCGAGCTCGAAATTTTCCTTCGACCTCGAAGTTTTCCTTTGAGCTTGAACTTTCCTTCGAGCTCGAAGTTTTCCTTCGAGCTTGAACTTTTCCTTCAAGCTCGAAATTTTCCTTCGACCTCGAGGTTTTCCTTCGAGCTCGAAATTTTCTTTCGACCTCGAAGTTTTTCTTCGACCTGCATTACGTAAGGGACACAACTGTCCCCTACATTACATAAGGCACGCAATGGCCCCGGCACTTGTGGCTCCTCAACCTCCCACAAGACGTGAGTGGACGTAGCAGATCGGCGGACGGTTGATTATGCTTTAACAACGTCAAGCGGCAGCAAAACGACAAGACCAAAACACGACATGGGCATATTTCCCACGGTCTTCCGCCGTTTAAACAGCGAAGATCACTTGCAGGTGGGCGACGATTCACCACCCGACCGCTGCACCAATCTTCCGCTCGTTGGTTCGCTCATAGGCCAATGAAGAAAAAAATTGAAAAAAGCCAGACCACACCTGGGAACCTCATAGGGACGTTCAACGCACTTGTACAAGTCATCGCACTCCTCAAATACCACCCAGCGAGTCTTACAATTTCGGTCCCAAGTATCGCATTGGCATTTGCAAATCTAGGGGTCGCGGAGCGATGGCGCTACCTCTTTTCGACGTGACTACATCGTATGTCAGAGGGGCTGTCTCTGTCGCAAACACCTGTGGCTGGTTCATGTTCCGTCTGCGACCCGCTTTCAAGTCATGGTGCGGGCTCGATATATCCTGTGCGAAAGAATCAGTGACAGTGGCTGGATGTCCGCGCTGTGCTGGCAACGTCCCTGCCCCACAGCTGCGCTGGGAAGGAGTGCAGGCCGAAAAACCACCACCAAAAGTTTCGAGCTGCTGGCGGTTGGGGGTCGTGCGAGCGGCACCTGCGAGTTGCAGCCCTGCTGCTGCTGACTGGAAGCTGGTCTCAGCAGCTCACCTCCTTCTTTTAGGGAGGAGGGGGTGGCATCTGCTCAACCAAGGTATGCAGCGACAGGAGCGGTAAGGTAGGAGCGACATTACCTTACCTTGCCCGCCATCAACGACGGGGAAGAAGCCCGCACGAGGTCTTACCTCTTACACCTCCATTGTGTGAAAAGTGCCTGGCTGCAACCGCTCGTTCCGTGTTCCTTCCTTCTCCTGCTACCTGCAACACAAGTAGCTCCACTGTAGCTGCCTGGCGTACCTAAGGTAAGTATTGCAGGCCGAAAAAGCCCGCCGTGCATTTTCGACTTTCGACCTTCGACCGGCACGCCCACCTCAACCACCCCTTCGCCCCTTCCGCCCCCATCGCAAGGTGCACTGCACTTTCCATTGTTTCCTCGCCGCGTCCTGCTACCTTCCTTATCTTTCATACATTGCGACAATCTATGCGACCCCCTCAAAGTCAGACTCTACCTTTCTTCGCGTCAACACTGCGCAAATGCCTTCGCCCCCGCAAACGTCCCAGGTCCAGCCCTCCTCCAGCGTCACCAACACAAAGACCATTCCTGTCAAGTCTGCATAGCCACCGTCCGATCAAGACTAGCCCTAGCCCAGCCGTCGAGCGTCCCCATCCCATGGTGCATCGGTCGAGGCAACCCCACGGGAGGTCCAAGTCCACGAGTGCATGCACCAAACCGGGCGCGAGCATCATTTCACCAAAAAGCCATGAGCAGCATCTTCAGAAGGATTGATTCAGGTCGCATGAGAAACTCTCTTTGAATTCGCCACTGCGCAAGGCGAAGAGACAGCCTTTGGTCGGGTTGCTGAACGACGGGGGCTCACAATTGTTCAGTTTGCTGCGAGGCGTGTGGGGTGTGCAACGCTGCATGGTGGTGCCTGTGGCGTTGTGGCTGGCGGCACAGATCCGACCAATCATTGGGTCCTGAGGTCTGTGCAGGTCGTAAAATATTACGACCTGCATTACATCAGCCTGCATTACGTTAGCATCAGTGGGCAGTGCTTCAGGTGCTTATGTACCTTGCTGGTGGACGCATGCAACGTTATCTCAACGTCGTTGGACTCACTTATCCACAGCACAAAGTAACAAACATGGTATTCTGGTATATTTACCCATTCTCTCCACAGAAATGTACACGGATAGCACACCCCCCCCCCCCCCCCCCCCCCCCCCCCCNGGAAACCCCCCCCCCCCCCCCCCCCCACGTGGTCATGATCGACAAGCAGAGGGCTGATGATTGAAGGCACCGAGAGAAAGACGCGTAGCCACTGGATGTCTCGACTTGGGACTGACCAGCAAGATCTCCTCCACTAACAGCACAACCTGAAGTGCGCAATAACCCAGTGCGACCGCATCCCGTCGAGGAAGGAGGGCAAGAGACGTGAGACAGTTCTCCGAGATGTGCTCCGGTGACATGTTGAAGCGAACGACGCAGTCTGCACAAGAGCATTTCATCCCTCGGACTTGATGTCGCAGCCGACGGAGCGGTGTGGGCGGCGATTCTGGAAATCTGATTTTTGGCGGGGTTTGCGTCGTCAATGTCGCGTCGTCAATGTCGCGTCCTCAATGTCGCGTCCTCAATGTCGCGTCTGTCGATGTTGGCCGACAGGCAGACGCAAAAAGGTGGGCGGGGGGCTTAATCATCAGGAGCTGGATGGACGTTGTCCGCGGAAGGCACCGTTTTCAAACGGCATCCACGTTCAGTCGCGTCACTTAGGTGCACCTGAGGCATGAGGAAGATGCTGACGTAATGCAAGTCGAAGTATTTTGCGACCTGCACGGACCTCAGGACCCAATGATTGGTCAGATCTGGGACGGCAACTCCCGGTCTGTGGGGCGCTGCACTGTAGTGTACACCGGCATTATCTGTGCTGCACCCTGAGGTGCCTGCTGCACTCACCTTGAGGTCCCTGGCAGTTGACGCCAGGGCAACTAGGTGCGTGGCACTTGGGCTAGGAAGCAGAGCTGCCACCCCACAGCGTTGGAAATGATGCTACCGAGCGAGGCGCCTGAGATTGCTCCCACACCATGTAGGATGTTTTGGCTTAAACTCGTCCGACATTGGCTTTCGCCCTGAGCTGTTCACTGATATGCACTTTGAGGGCGAGAAACGCGGGGTCCGGCGAACCGCGCACGGCGGCGAGGAAGGCGATCCAATATACATTTCTGGAGCATTGGACTCCTTACACGCCGAGCGCGGAGTCCGGTTGGAGACGCGCAGCTTCTTCGCCGTGTGATTGATGAGGAGATCCTGTTGACGGTCTGTCCACCGAGCAATGTTTGCCTGCAAGTCGTCAAGGACGTCGCCCAGCTATCTATCAAGAGGGTCCTGGATGAAGGTGTCCGGTTCAGCATAAACAGCGACGATCTAGTATAGTTCGGCGGCTATATCCTCAACAACTGCTGTGCCGTTCAGGAGGCCTTTGGTGTCAGAATTGGCCAGTGGCGTATTATTGCTGAGAACTCGATCTAAGGCAGCTGAATGGGAGAGAAACGCATGTTGGAGCTTATGTCGGCGGTGGCATAAGTGGTGGGAAAGCATAAGCAATAAGTCTTGTAGGTTTTATGATGTCTTGTAATTGAATAAAAAGACGTTGCGGAACCAAGCTTGGATATCATCTGCACCTTCGCTCGGTGTGCCGCTATTGCATACTGTCTGCAGGGATGGATCGAAATCGCTGGGCGGGGAGGCAATCAACATGCCGCTCAGGTCTCCCGTATCCACAGCGAGGAACCTGGCTATGATCTCGTTGTTCGCAATCATGTCGTTGATGATGTTATGCCGAGAATCGCGTCAATCAGGGCCGCCCCGCGCCCGACTATAATATCACACCTTCGGATGCGGAGCCTGGCTGCGGCTCATATGAGTTCGAGCCGCAACCGGCGAGCTTGCTCGTCGGTATGGCTTACTCGGTACAATAAATCGAGGCCGATGGCCACTGCTGCCGTCACGCAGACGGCAGAATGCGTCCAGAGGGAGATAGTTCCCTCACGCTCTGTGATCTTTTCATGCTGTTACAGGATGGTCAGCGCGGCGGAGATGCACGTGGTGCGCGTCCGTTGAGATTCGCGGATGTTAAAGGAGCGAAATAGCACCGGTCGGTGGATCATGATGATCTTGTCTGCTACCGAGATGGTAAGGCTGGCTCTGGCTAGGGGCAGCCAGCTTAGCAGTTCTTCGTCTTCGGCCGGACCTCGTAGGAGAAACGGCCGGATTGTCTGCACCGTAGCCCTGAACTTGGGGTCCGGGTACGCAGGGAAAAGCAAACCTGGGCCGAGTGTGCTCACGCACAGAGACGGCGTGTTCGCTTGCATTGTAAAGCAGGGGCTTTCCTCAAACCAGGCGTCTTCTACTATGTCTGACACGAGCTCCTGGGGGAGGCTCGTTCTGACTGGAAGTTGCACAGTGAGGTTCGTCACGCCTCACCACTGGGAGCAGAACCAAAGCCCACGTGTAACTTCATTTGTTCACAGCGTTGCGGTGAATCCTGCACTGGAAATTTTGCAAAGGGAACACCTAAGGTGGACATAGGACACCGCGGCGTCAGCCTCCCGCCTCCTGGAAGGGCTGTTGCCCATAATAGTGCGACACCTCATGTGCCCGGGCCCTCCTCGGAGCATCGTCCAGTGTGCTGACCCTCTATAGAAGCGTGATCAAACGCGTGACTCAGGCTGATTAGGTCGCCGGTTATGCATGCGAAGGAGAGCGCAGAATGATTCAAACGTCGTCGCTGTTTTGCACACGGTACATGTGGGCCAACAGCGCCGTGCACTGCAATCATGTGGCCTCGTACGTCCACCCTGACAAAGCGAAAATGGACATGTCCTGGCCTTCGCCTTTCACATGGTAGCCTACGCTTCTCAAGACGTAGCGGCACAGCGCCGCTCCCTCCACCGTCACTATGAGTAGCAGCACCCCGTTCGACCTGCCTGAGCTCGCCCAGATGGTGGCTGAGAACCTTAACATTGGAGATTATGGTAGCGCAGAGACAGAGACGTTGCTTGCGTGAGCCGGCCTTGATGGCATTGCAAGAGTGTAGAAAGGAGTCAGCAGATACATAAGCTCTTTCGTTGGCAACAGGAGCGAAACTCTCTACATCATGGGAATGACCTATTACTAGCTAGAGGGGCCGAGAGCTGCGGGCATGTTCGCTAGCGGCGTGTGCTCTGCTAGTAACTTGTGGTCGTTCCATTGCGCAGGTAACGAGCTCCATGTTACGGTGTTCGTAGCGTGGCTTAGGTCGAAAGGAGTGACAATGGACATGGAAGAGTTTGACGTTCTCGCGACAGTGACCGACATCACGGGACGCAGAACTCTCATCTACACTGGCACCAAAGGCGACACGACGGTGAAGCTGACCTGGAAAGGACACAGCAGACCAAAAGTCTCGTGTTTGAAATGCCCACTTACCTGCTTCCAGGCCTTCATGACTCTTTTTCTGGCTGCTCACTTGGACTACTCAGCCTGCGCGCGTCGGAAAGGAAAGCTGCTGACGAACTCCACGGGTTCCTCGAGGAAGTACTGGAACGATGTGGCCCACGAGCTGAAGTCCGGAGGCTTTGAGATTGAATTGCCTAGAGGGGGTGTTTCTCACCTCGATGGACAGATCGAGTCCACAGAGGACGACTGTTGGTATGTTGTAGTGCCTGACTCTACGCCGGCTCTTGGGTGCTTTGACGCTGCGGCAACTGAAAGCCACGTGAGTGACATGACCCGCCAGGCCTGGTTCGACGTTGTTTCAAAGTACATCTTCATCACTGAAGAGGATGGAGCTAACAAGCTAGCTGAAGCCCCTGTGTCCGCGCCTTACGCCCTCAGGCTATATAAGCTAGCGTGCTCTTTGATGGGGGAAATACCTTTCAAAGCACCCATGAGGCTGCCGGACGACATGGACACGCACCCTACCTGCGTGACAGCAAGGTGCGCGGATGGGGTGTACATCTCTGTAGGAGTAGAGGAGCCGCCCGAATCCGAAGACGACAACAAAGCCGTAGTACGGTTCTCAATCTGGGCCGTGAAAAGACTTTTTGACTACATTTACGCATACTGTCAGCTCGTCGGTTCGGGCGAAGGCTGCCTCCATCTTACTGAAACTTAAAGCAGTTCCAAAGCCCAATGGTGTTCTTCTGTTTAACGTTTGAATCTAGCAAGCGTGTGACCCACCTCGAACTAAGCCGGTCGAGAAGAATGTTTAAAATGCGCGGCGGCAATGGCCGCCGTCCGCACTACTGTAATCTGCTCCGAGTGCTATGCCACGATGGAGCATGTCACCCACGTTGCTGTGGTCTTCGCAAGGACTCCTATAGGATCGCTTCCCGAGCCCACGAGTCTGTGCAAGAGCCACCCCGAACTCGACTGCCACAGGTTGCTAAGACAGAGGGTGGACCCCCAAAACATGCTGAGAAAAGTGTGTGGCGACTCGACAGACATACTAGAACTCATGCTGGTCACAAACACAACCCTCTGCAGCCCCATCGTCGACGAGGTTCTCAACCCTCAAGTAGACTCCTCCCGGGACCGCATTGCTCGCAGATTATTGCGGGGGAGGAGAAAGCTCGATGGACATAATGAGAAGGACTTTGGCCAACATGGGCATGACAGAGCGCTACTTAGACGTGGGTGTCTTTGGTTTCGAGTCTGTAATAGACGGCGCCGAGGTCTGTAGCCTTGTGAAAACTCAAAACTACCTGCCCCCATCAGAACCTCTCGAGGATCATAACTACACCTCTACTTATGTGATAACGAGGAGCTGTGCTGTATAGCTGCGCTTGTATGTAAGCAGAGCGGCTGCCTCGCTTGGGGTTGATTTAACTAAGGGGACTACAGACGCAAGAGGAATGGAATGCGGCGATTACTCTAGAAGACTCAAGGCGATAAATGGGAGAACGGTGCTCAGGCAAGTGCGAGACGAGGACTCATCTTTCGTTGACTTCACCTATACAGGCTTGGTCAACCCCCTTCTGGGGGAAGTGCAGGCATACCACAAAGATCTAGTTCTCTCCACTATGTGGGTTGAAGAGTGGAAAGATCACGAATACCCCTATTTAGAAGGAGTAAGGGCTGCTATGTGGTGCGAGCCTCTAGACTTTCAGGGTAGTCTTGCTTCAAGACTTATGGTCGTAATGCTCAAATGTTCAACCAAAATACAGGCGTGGCTACACCCTGGCGTTGTGCTAAGCAACTCTGTAGGACAGAAGCGTGCTCTGCAACTGCGCCTCGCCGGGCTTCCCACCACGCCGTCCCGTCAGTGGATGTCCGTAGAAGACATGTCTGGGCTATTGTAGACCCTGCACCTCGATCGTGATGCGGATTAAAGTTTCAAAAACGTTGCGCGGCTGTAGGCTGCGCCTGTCACTCTCAAGATGTCCAGATTATCCACTATCCCAAGCGAGCTTGCAGACGAGATAGCAGAGCGCCTTAATGTAGGCGACGTGCAAGACGGAACGGTAACAGAGTTCATGCCCAGCTCGAACATACGTAGAGTTGCGACAAAAAATACGGATGTCGCAGCGTATATGGGTGGCCTGACCCGGTGCGGGGCGGAGACAACGGACGTTCTTGCATGGATTGACAGCTGGTTTGGAGGGTCCAGAGCAGCAGAGATGTTCGTCCCTGGAACTAGTGAAAGTCTTTCGAGTTGGGATGTGTCCTATGGAGGAAACTCGATGCAGCTGATCGCGCTGCTGGGATGGCTGAAATCCAAAGACGCGTCTATGGAAGTGTACACGTGAGGTCTTATGCGTTGAGCGTGTCTGTTTTCTGGACTAGAAAGTGTAACCCCGTGGCAATGGCACTTTGCTGTCCTATTACATGCGCGCAGGCCTTCATCACGCCTTTTGTCTCTGTGCACCTGGCACAGAGAAAGCAGGGGATCGAAGGCCAGGCTAATGCAGACGTCCTTTTCCGCCACAGACTCGTCCGACCGGGCATGGGTCACGGCCTACTCTGCAAGAGGGTTCAGCGTCGAGACCAGGCCTAGTGCGACCTTCGGAGAGCGTGCATCTGTGAGGTCGGTGGGAGACGACGAGTGCTGCGTATTGTACACGAGTGCGCCAAGGACGAGCTCATTCGCTTGTGACTCTAGCGTAAAGGAGTATATCTCAAAGATGATTCACTAAGCGTAGTTAGACAGAGGGGACATGTATACACACCATAGGTCCCTCTCTCCCATTGTCGCGTCTTCGGATTGCGTGCGTTTGCCTGAGCGCTCTAGAAAGCTCCTCGTTTTGGCTCGCTCTCTGCTGGGGTTCAATATCTCGAGATACAATCCTGCAGCCGAGCCTATCGTTCTTCGCCACTTGGGCGGAGGGCGGACGCAGGTCTTTCTTAGCAACATCACACTTCCGCCGCGCGTGGGGGAAACATCCGCCCATCCTCCTATGTTCTCACTCGAAGTGCAAGTAGCTTTGTGGATAGCAACGTGTTTAAACATAGTGTCTAGATCACTTACTTTGTCAGACGCTCTCTCCTTCATCAAGCAGTTCAACTCTCCCAACACATAGATGACGTTGCTCGTGCCCACCTCAAGCTGCTGCTCTCTCGCTTGTCTCGTCACACCCTCTCCTTGCGTGTTCGCTGTACTCATGTTTAGCGCTGTGTTTTCACACTATGCTCTAGTTTAAAACTCGCATGCGTTAGGCGCAACCGTTGTTGCGCCCTGCACTGCGACGATGGAGGCCTGTACGTCGTGCGAATCCATTCTCAAATAGTACGAGTACCAGTCGCTGGCTGCGGACGAAGGACACAGGACCGTCGTGGCGTGTAAGACCTGCCCTATTAACGCATCTTAGTTGAAGTATAGAGAAAGAGGTATAGAGAGAAGAGAAGTGTTTTAAGGGTTTCAAGCCGCAGCTACACAGCCAATCAGAATCCTACAAGCCTGTGAGATGCAGCACAGAGGTAAGGATGGTTGTTCCTGCATCTCGCAAAACGTACCTGAGCTGCAGAGCCATTCGAGTTGCTGTCCATACAAGACCTAGGGGAGTGACACATCCATTCAGGTACGGCGACGTACCAGCTCAGGGGACGGAGATGCTGAACGAGGACAAGCAAGCGCTGGTGTACGTGGTTGATTCAGAGGACACGTCGGGGTTTAGAATTAAGGTCTTTACGTGCTCAGTGCATGACTGCTCGGCGTCGCCTCACGCGGAAAAGTTCGCGCACCGTTTGAACTTTAAGATGATGCGTGAGCTGCAGAGTCTCACCATGTATGTTGTCGAGGACGCGGGGACGGAGAGAGCAGATACAGCATCATGGGGGTGACGGCGGCGCGCTGCGACCCTCAAGTTATGCTACTGTTGCTGGCGGAGGCAATGGCGCACCCGGGGGGCGCCCTCGACTTGCGGTCCACCCTTGGCCGTGGCCAAGTCTCGATGCTCACCAACCTCAGCCCGAGGGCGTGGGACGTGGAAACAGCGCCTGCCGAGGATTGCGTGTTTATGTCGAAGGTAGACGGGGAGAGAAGGTGGCTAGTCGTTAGCGGGAATTTGGGCATCAGCGTTCGAAAGTCAAGGAGGATGGAGACATGTGGGTGGTTCGTCACGGACGCACCGGAAGCGTCCTCATACGTTGTCATAGACTGCGAGTACACCACTTCGCGTGGACACTGTCTGATAGACATGCTCATGGACCACAGAGATAGACTGTCGCAGCAGCACCGGACGATGCGAGGATCGATCAGCGAGTTCCTAGAATTCTCTCGTACATGCCGCCTTCTGCCTGTGTACGTCAGGCCGTTCTTTTGCGCAGCTCTTCCCACTCCCGGGGTTGTTCCCGAACCGTCTGACGGCGTGGTCGCAATACACAAGGAGTCGACCGCGGCGCGAAGAATAAAGGCCGTACAGTCGATAGAACTGCAGATAGCGAAGACGAGCTAAGGGTAGAAAACTCTAGTGACGGCGGACGGAGACGAGGTGTTCTGCTCTCTTGAACAGTGCGCCAGTTTTAAGGTTGGAAAGATGGTAGAGGTGCGTCTCTCGGGCGACCCTTCCACAGGATCGATTGAGGTTCATGAGTGCTTTGTGCGTGTAGAAAAGTCGAAAGCCAACGACACCCGCGCGGTGCAGCTGACCCTAGGTACCCTCAGGTCATCCGTAACCCCGGGGGACGAGAACGACAGAAGAGACGCTCTCCTGTAGTGCAACAGCCTGAAGACACACATAAACCGCAATATAGAGTCGATGAAATCCGCGAAGGCTATCATCATCAACGTGGGTACAGGGGACGGGCAGTCCTTAGACTGCATGAACCTTAGAAGCGCAGAGTTTTCAAGACTCATAATAAACAGAGCGAAATACGAAAGGTTGTGCAGACGTTTGTCCGTACGCACCGTGCCCGCAGGTACAGAGCCCATCAGACCTTCCATAATAAGCCTCAAACTAAGAAAGGTAAACGTTATGGTCGCCAACTGCACTCTGGACGATGTTCTGGACGACCCGGAGCTTCAAACTACCCTCGTTCAGTCTGAAGTAAGGGCAATATTGTGCACATCATGACCCAGAACACCGCCAACCAGTTGGAACGTCTTGTACTGTCTGTAGACGACAGCGGGTGTGAGAGGTACTAGCTAGTGTTCGTAATGGGTCTGTTGTCTAGAACAAGCCTCAGGTCTGTCAAGAGGATGTCTATGTACCACAGAATAATAGCGGCTTCCAGGCTTGCACGTCCGCTCACTTCAACTTGCACGGGTACATCGCCAGCGACAGGCCTCCGCGTCCATCCATATCATCAGCCCAGACTCCGCAAGCTGTGTGTCTGCCCTTCTGCCCCGCTACAGCCGCTGTCTCACCCTGCTGTTCGTTCAAGCCCCTCGTTACAACCCCAATATATACAGAAATAATATCACAGCTGGACTCATCTGATACAGTTGCAGACTATCTCCCCAGTGAGGACGCAATAGTGCTATATCTAAACGATAAGATGAGCTACGAGGACTCCATTTACATGCCGCCAAGATACATAGACAACAGAGAGTTCAGCACCATGTCTCTATGCAAGTACTCGCTCCCACACGGGGACCACATACCCAAGATAGGCTCAAGGATGTGCAGAAAGATATATGCGTGATAGAAGAGCTTCTATCAGGCGGATTACCTTCACACAGAGGAGTGGTCAATATGCAAGGACCGTAGGGCGGTATACTCGCTTAGCAGAGCACCAAGCGGCGTTCTTATGTCCAAGAGCAGGACGCCTAACAGAGTGGGTGGCGGGGGTAAGGAGCTTTCAACAGCTATAGACCGGAGACAAGGTGTCCACAGGACACAGGCAGAAAGGAGTCGTCACAGCGTGCAAGTATGAAGACATACCTCAGGCTGTTACAGCAGACAGAAGCGTTGTAGTTCCAAACATAGTTATGGCCATGTCGTCCATAGTGTGTCGCCAAACAAACGGCCAGCTGTACGAGACTCACATATCCCTTGATTCTGTGAAGTCTAGAACGACAAGTGTGGTCGGCGCGGGCGAGACCGGCCAACCTATACGAGCAAGTTACAGTGATGAAAGGCACGTCAGGAAAGATGTATACTACTTACAAGGCAGATGGGACGCTCCTGCTTACGAAAGTCACGCTCGGGTTTTTCAGAGTGCACAACCAAACTCGGATGACGCGCTCAGGTAGAGGGTGTGTATGAGATTCATCTTGGAGGACTTTAAATTTGGGCTATAGTATGATAGGGGGCCGCTTCTGCTTAGCAAGGCGGCACGCTCCCTCTACATATTTCCCCGTCAGAGTCATACAGCAGTCAAAAAGGTGCGCCTCCAGGCGGCAAACTGCGAATGAAAAGTTAGAAGGGAAGAAGGACTCAGATGACGCGCGAACGCCACTTCACGTCACACCAGCGTACAACGAAGAACACACTGCGTACTCCCACGAGGCGCACCAGAGGTGGGGGTGTAGGGTACAGAGAAATGGAAGTACAGTCTGCTGTGTCCGCCGGACTAACAAGCTGCGTGGACGAAATGGTCACACGAGGCGACCAGGTCGTAACTAACATATGCACAGGGTGCCAGCGCCTTCGGCTGCTGTGCGGCTGCACAAGCCTCCACCATAGCGTAAGGGTAACCCTCCCATATGATACCGTCATTATAGTTGCATTTCAGCCATCGTGTACAACAGATCAAATGTCTACACGCTCGAGGTTGATCAATGATTTAATGGACGATGTGAGCAGGCTCGGGGCGCCCAACACGGCCAGACAACCCCAAAACGGAGTTCGCATAGACGTCAATGAACCTGAAAGGCTTTTTATAACATGCTCTGTTGCGACGTACACCCCCGTGGGGACAGGAACGTGCAGCGCTACATTTAGAGTGACATAGGTTCCGAGGACACGCTGATCTCTCCATTTGGAAAACTGTGCTGTAAGTTTGTGTACTCGGCGGTATGGCCGAACTGCGATATCACGTGTAGACAGGAGCTGTAAAGAATAGACGAGGCGCTTGACGCCGACTCTGTGTGGACCCTCCAGCGAGAGGGATGCGACACAGAGTCACGCGAAGGTCACTGTAGATCATCACTTGCGGAGATCATCCACCCCAAGGCCAGACTGTCAGTAGCATCAACAGGTTCATCATTCGATTTCGAGCTCGTTTCCGAGCTTACACAGACAGATTTTCAGCCGATCAAGCACTCAGGAGAGCAAAAGCTCCAAGGATTCAGTGAGGAAGAGTAGCAGAGGTGACGAGAGGATCAGAGGTGACGAGAGGAGCAGCAGGAAAAAAGAACTGAAGACTACTTTCGAGAACCCCAGAAAGACTTTGTCCAAGAAGGAGTTCGAGCATGTGGATGGAAACTCGATGAAGGACTTTCTAGCTACTCTGTACTACTACACAGCTGGTAGGAGAGACAAGCCCATAAGCCTACCTCGCCCCGTCGGCGCACAGTCAGCGTGCCCATCATGGATGAACCCGGTGGGAATGGTAGTAAAGACATGCGGCACTGAAAAGGAGACAATAACGCGGAGGCGAAGTACGGAAAGCTCAACATCCCCAAGGACGACGATATCTCCAAGGTCTGGTCGTTGAGGGAATTCGGTGAGGAGGATGACGGTGCGCAGCAGAGGAAACATTCCGTCTCGTCGGCTGGCCCTAGAGCCATGTTCACCTCTCCGAGCGAGATCTGCGAAGAGTCAATGGATTACTCCTTCTCGCAAGGCGAACGCAGGGTTCCGATATGCCAAGCGCGAAGGACCTTCCACATGCCCACAAGACCCCAGGCTCCGCCAACTCCATACGACTCCTACCGTCAGCACTCCGCAGACGCTGCAGCCTCCACCACCAGACTGTCCACCCCCGGAGTAGTCCCCGCGCCGTTAACTGCCAGGGATTTGAGAACAAACGCTCCGACACAAGCCCGAGACTTCTCCTTCAACGGCCACAACCTCAGGCAGTAGAGCTTACACCGGCGAGAAGTACATCACATGCTTACATATATCCATGCATTTTCTGTCCAGTGTCGACCGCTCTTCTCCAACCTCAGCCGCGCTTTTGACTCCTGTAAACGACTTATAACTCGAGCTTAACGTCAAAGGCTCAGTGTACTCTCCGTCCCCTCCCCACTTCACACTACACTTTCGCTCTCCAATCTTGGACATCACCACCCCGCAAGAATCTATTAAGACTCCGTCTGGCCGGGCCTTGTCGTACACATATCCGCAACCGTACACAGGCACTCTTGACAACTGCCTCATGCAGACGAGATTATGCATAACAAACTGAACGCTGAACGTCCCCCTTCTGACCCTGCCGGCGTCGTGAGTGTGGGACGTGTGCGAAGCGCACACAAAGCCTATGTAGCCTTTTTTAAAGCTCCTGGAGTCTATGTCCGGCTCTTTGTCCAGTTCGAATGGAGTCATGTCTATAATCTGGTTGTTGTGAAGGGTTCCATACAGTCCCGTCGAGGGAGACGAGTCTCTGTGAAAAGCGAAGCAGTTCATCAGCAGATAGCTTGTGTTTTCGTTCCACGACGCCTTCTCTGCAGCGTGAACCGTAGAGCATGATAAGGGCACCAGCTTCAAGGCCCTTACAGACTCGAGCACTGTGTTTCCCCCACCGTCCACTTTACCTGCGCTGTTGGACCACGTTCCGTCGGCCGATCTCACGAATACTCTCCCGTTGGGCACGCTCCATAGCATGCCGGCGTCTACGCATTCTTGAACAAGAGCGGCGGCGTCTTTGATCATCTCAGCGGTGTTGCTTAGCTCTCTGACATCCCAGAGCCAAGCGTCCTTATCATGAATATGACTGATGACGTTGGTGAACCTTACCAGCGTCCGTCCGTGCTTCCGCACATCTCGGGGGGCTCCACGTCGCTTACCATGCATCCACCCTGAGTGCGGTACTCGAGGTTGACATTGCGGAGCGTAAGGTGCCTCGACACTGCCTCAGTAGAAGCAAACCTCGACTTACCAGCGAAACAGTCCATCTTGAGCATGAGCGACGCAACACCGTTGCGCCACACACTTCAGTCCGACGAACAAGCTCAGGAATGAAGGCCAATAGAGCTGATACCGGAGGATGTGCTGGCCTTGGGCAGGTCCACTCTTTACGCGGACGGCTGGGAAACGAGATCCTCATGCTCCCCGTGTAAGAATATGGAAAATTGTAGTTGTAAGGGCATGGAAACATGTGAGTCGGTGTGGTTTTATCATTTCATGTACCAGCCGGGTCAGCCTCAGACGGAAGGTATGTTCGAAGGTATCTTTGACCACCGCTCCGAGGACGAGGTCGTGGACATGCTTTCCGACGACGACAGTGAAGTGCTCGAACTCAACTTGGACGTCCACGAGAAGGAACAGGATGGGTTTGAAGAGGGAGGGGAATACACCTAACTTTGGACACAGACGTATCGTGCGAAGAGATGCCCGTCAGCGAGAGTGTGCTTAGGCCTTCATTCGGCTGCGCCCAGTAGGTGTCGCTCCTTAGCCCTCGTGGGTACAACCTGATGAGCTTCTGCGACAGAACGTACAAGTCCGCATTCTTCAATCTTCCCGCGAAGGTGTCCATTTTCCACCTGAAGCCAAGATCGGAGCCGGTCATAGAAGTAGTGGTAGAGATGGACTTCGCTCAGTCGCTGGAGTATATTCTGATGGTGCCAGGCGTGATCGTGTAGATAATCACGGACCTCGTCGTGTCAGCTGGGCTTCTGCCGGTGTCTGCACACAGGTATGGTGTGCCCAGAGTAATCCAGCAAACTAACATGGTGCTGCCCCCTAGCGGGGCAGCAGGCCTACGAGAAGAGGCCGCAGAAGACAAGTCAACTGCGATCGCCACCGCCTGTCTTGTAATGTCACCTGTCTCAAAGTTCAACGGATCCAACCCCGACTTTAGAGAGCCCACACTTGAGGTGTACAATGTCAGGCCTCGTGGAATGGGTTTTGGACCCCTGTAGAAGTTGTTCTGCAGGCGAGGCTTCAGACATCCAGTATGCTGCTGCAGATGCAGCGTGCACCTCCCTTTGTTTTCCGTCCGTGACTATTGCGACGCCCAAGTCCTCTGTAGGAGGGTCGCACACCAAGCATCCTCGTCCTTTTGTTTCGCACTTAGCTACGCAAAGATCCGTGATCGCAGGCATGTCAGACAGCCTCGACACGGTGGTCAATTTTATTGGGTTCTCGCACTGATATCAAGCGCACATAAAGTCATGGAGTAATGTTATCGGTTCAAACGGCAGAGACATCATGGTGATAACGGTCTCTCGGAGTGGATCCGCACGCAACGATTCACTGGAGGTGGACTCAGGGAAAGAGGATGAAACGTGTACACTAGAGCATTCTGAGGCGTTGGACTTCGTTTCAAGCATTTGTTCGTCCTCAAGGTGCATGGTGTGGTACCGGGAGGAGGAAGAGGCACACAATCAGGCGTTCATATCCAACAAAGCAAAGTGCACATGGGCCGCCCCTTCTGCGCGCAGGTGTCTTGCCGCAACCTTACTCGTCGTCCCATCGATGTTCAGCCGTCCCTCAGCCGACCACGGATTCCGTGTGTCGTGGGACCCAGCGTACATTCTATCTATGAATGACGAAGACAAGTCCGTGGATGTTCGGCTAAGGCTAAAGACGCTTTGGAGACAGGTGCTTGACTCTTCCCTCGCATCAGGGCGCTGCTACGAACGCCAACTTCCCGACTTCTCAACGTGGCGCGCCCCCAGGGGGATAGCGGGAAACCGCACACCATCGCAGTCACACTAGCTTCCAAGATTGTCTGACCGAGTGTTTGAACTTGCGCCATGGACGAAGCGTGCCTCAGGTATGTGGTCAAAGTATGCTTGCGGAATCCTCAGGAGAGGCTCACTCACTGCGTTTCGCTTTACATCTTCGGGCTCGAAAGAATGAAGGCGCTGAGGGCGGTGGTGATGGTAGAAAGACCGTATAAGACAGACGTACACCCGCCTGTGTTCTCGGCCCTACCATACGCTCCTGGACTGTCGGGGCCCACTCCTGCAACGTCCGGGTGCGCCACCCTCTTGTCGGGCTTCTGTAAGAAAATAAACGGCATCTAACGCTGGTGGAGGGACGGGTGGAAGCACGCGTCTCACGGCATTGTCTTCTTAAACGTGTGCTTTTCGACAACGTTCACGAGTTCATACTCGAGGCATGAAAGGCTGGAGTTCCAGCGCCTGTTGCGAGCCATGGTGATTCACTTCGACCCGCCTCAGGGATCAAACATAGCACTGCTGGCTATGGATAACCCCGCCACCAGCGTTGTAAGACAAGTGCTGTCGAACCTGGGGGTTTGCAGACATAAGGCTGTTTTCAAGAATATGCCCCACCCTGCTATTCTTTCTCACCACAAGAGCGACCTGGGATCGCGCCGCATCACCAACGAGTACAAAGAAACGCTCGCGTACCTGTCCGGTCTTATTAAACATACCTTAGCCTCGCCTTGTTGGTCTATCGACGACTATCCACCCATGGACGGTACATCTGCAGAGATGGCGGCGGCTGACAACAGCCTCGCAGACCGGCTGACGGAGGAGATGAAGTTGTACGACTCTCCGTCGAAGCTCACTCATGAGACTGCAAGGGACGTTCTAGAAGGTCTTGTACCGGTTTATGAACTCACGCAAGGATGGTGACCAAGTACAACGCCCAGCTGATGGTAGCAGGTATCAGGGGTCCTCAGGTGCGGCGCGCCCATCGGCGCGCTCTGGTTCTGCTTCTCGTCTTCCTTTGGCTAAGCGAACCATCACGTCAGACACGGTATCGCAGGCGTCTTCGAAATACAGCTCTCCGGGCGTGCCTATGTCTCTTGGGTCGTTTGAAAGTGACGACGAAGGCGAGCAGCCTGCTATGCCTACGCGCTCATCCGCGACTACCACTGCAGCCTACACTCCCGCAAGCTCGACCCCTGCGCCTCCCAAGACGCCTGCCAGGTCAGTCAGGATGTCCGGATTCGCAGATGAGGACGATGACGCCCCCGTGTCTGTAGCCAGCTCCGACGCCAGGGGCAGTAAGCCTCCTCCAAGAACAAGCAAGATTGACAAATCGGACATCCCCGCTCTTGTGTGCGCGGACTCCCTATGTAGAGGCAAGGGCTGGACTAGAGACATAGCCACTGAGATGAACACGGCGGTGCAAGAAAAGCCTGTAAGCTCAAATATGGCAAAGTTCGCAGACGAAATAAAGGAGGCCGGCGCCTCTGTGGAAGACGACCTCAGAAGTTCGTTTATGTGTCCTGTCTCGCACAAGGTGGTCTTTTTTGGCACAACTGAGCATACGATTGCAGCGGCCTTCCCGAACTCGTGTTCTAAAGGCTTTGGGGGAGCTACCGTACCAGACCGAGTGGTCACTTTGGAGTCAGACGTAAGCATCAGCTGTTTCATGCCTATAAGCACCACGCCAGCGTCTGGAGAACCTGACATTTGGTCGTAGCGGTTGAGCACGGAGCACAGCTGGAGCATACATGCGCCCACAAGATGGGCACCACTAGATATTCTCATATTAGCGAAGCAGTACGCACACTTCTTATTAACAGGCCCTGCCACTCGGCTGCCACTCCTGTGGCCTGCTAGCGAGTGCTAGAGGCTACTATATAGCCCTCTCTAGCGCCCTAGTGTCTAGCTAGTTCTTCTCTATAGTATATTATAGTTATTACTATGTTCTTAGGTTATAAGCTTAGCTTTATTAAATTAACCCTAAAAATGTTAATTTTAAAGTCCTTTTAACTACCTTAAGTTTATAATAATCCCCTTAATTATTTCTATTATTTTACTATTCTTTTTATATATAAATTAGTTAATTTTATTATTAATTACCTTATCTATTTACCTTCTTAACCTTTAATATACCTTAATACGTTATAGTAGAGATCTTATTATATTTACCTTTAATTAAGTATATATAGGTAAGCTTACTACCTTATAAGTTAAACTCCTCTTAATAAATACCTTATA